TCTGCATGCCTGCATAAGTGCATTATACCTGTGGAGGAGAATAAGTGAGAGTTTTAGGACTAAAAATTTTGAATTCATCATGTTCAATATTCTCAGTTACAGATGTACACATATAAGACCAAGAAAGTTTGAGTAACTTAAAGTATAGCAATTTCTGTTCTAAAACATATTAGTCAGGGACCTTGATTATAATACAAAGGAAAAACCCACCTAAGGTAGTAAAATTGGAATTTATTCTAAGCATGGAAGGATTTCTTTTAGACTCGGGACAGGAATGGAGCTGGGCCTAGCAACGGGAAAAATGAGGGTATTGGGGAGCACTCCCTGTCCTCTTGTCTTAGCTTTATTCTTCTTTCTCAGTTCACTGGCTTTCTCTGATAGCCAGCCAGCATGGCAGACAGAAGTCGGTGCCCACAGCTGCTCTTCAACATATTCTAGTCCTAGTCATACACAGTCGGTGCGCCTCTTTTTCCCTTTTCTAAATTCTTGACAAGAGAGAGTTCATCTTGATGCCTGTTTCCCACCCCAATCTGACCTTATGTGACCGGACAGGATCACAGGGTGGAAGCTGGCCTACCTGGAGTCCCCCTTAGTGGGCTGGGTGCCCAGAGGAATACGAATGGGTGCTGTATTTTTAGGGTCTTTTGACTTCCAGTTTACCAGTCATTCTCCTTTTCTTTTCTTTTCTTTTTTTTTTTTCCTTGCTTCTTTGCCCTGTGATGATTCTCCCATAGTAAGTATCTGGAACCTAGATTGCTGCTTTTGAGAAAGCATGGTTTCTCCTTTTTAAAAAAAATTTTTTTTTAATTCAAGTACCATTAACATACAGGTGTATATTGGTTTCAGGTATACAATATGGCGATTGAACAATTTTATACATTTCTCAGTGTTCATCAAGAGAAGTGTACTCTTCATCCTCTTTATTTCACCCATTTCCCCCACCAGCTTCCCCTCTGGCAACCACCAGTTTGTTCTCTGTATTTAAGAGTCTCTTGTCTCTTTTTCCTTGTTCATTTGTTTTTAAATTCTGCATATTAGTGAAATCATATGATATCTGTCTTTCGGACTTACTTTACTTGGCATTATACCCTCTAGGTCCATCCATCTTGTTGCAAATGGCAAGATTTTTTTTCTTTTTTATGGCTGAGTATTATTCCGTGTGTGTGTGTGATCTATATATGTATAACTCCACATTCTTTATCCATTCATCAGTCAGTAGACACTTAGGTTGCTTCCATATTTTGGCTATTGCAGATTGGTACAGCCATTGTGGAAAACAGTATGGAGGTTTTGCAAAAAATTAAAAATAGAATTACCATGTGACCCAGTAATTCCACTTCTGGGTATTTACCCAAAGAAAACTGAAAGCATGAATTCAAAAAGATCTATGTACCTCTATGTTTACTGCAGCATATTATCTCCTTTTAAAAATATCCTTTAGATGGAACCTTTTTCAGAAAGGTGATATCTGTTTGAGACCTAATCTGATAGTAACAGCTGTTGAATAGAGAGGGTTACTTTGACAAGGAGTGAAATATATGGTATTTTAGGCACTATCAAAATAACAGATTAATAAAAGACAAAGTAGTCTACTCTCAAGTATATGAATGCTAATGTCCAGTTTTGTACTTTTGAATCTTCATTAAATGTGACCAATATCTTGACTGATGTTAGAGTGCTAATTGGTGATCCTGAGAAAGATAATGAAATATCAAATATTTTATCGGTTTAACTTACTGTGTTTTTTAATTCCAGTTATTCTGAAAATTGATCATTAGTGTGATGTGGGTAGTCCTCTATTAACCAGAATGTTTGATTATTCAGATACCACACTGTATGATCCTTTTGTTCCCAGTGCTCAGTTGTGTACAGATGCCTCATATCACTTGGAAAATTCTAAGCTCTAATTCTAATTTTACCTTAAAAAATAATTCAGGAAAAAAAATCCTAGTAGCTTACTTTGATCTTGAATGTATTAGTAAAGTTGTTCTGCCAAGCATTGCTCACAGAGTCTAAAATATTTTATATCTCTTTTCCAAATGATAAACAGCCCTCTTGTGTTCTGCCTTTCCAAAACGAAAGTATAGCTTTTGAATTAATGGAGTACTAATAAAAAAAAAACTTGATAATAATTTCACCTTATGCATACTTTGCTGTCTTAGGTAAGTAAACATACTATGTCATTTAATCAATAATACTTGAAGGTAAGTTAGGGACAAACTGGGACAAGAGCACCTAGGATGCCTCTTGGTAAGATGGGGAATACGGAAGAAAGAACTGATTGGGAGAGGGTAGAATTATGACTATTTTTAGACATGATGATTTTGAGATCCCAGTGGGGCACTAAGTATCTAGCGGACCATTCACCACTGGGACAGAGGTGGTCAAGTTATGGGTAGAGGTGGGTAATAGGAGAAACCGTGGATTTAAATGAAGTCATTTAAGGAGACACAGTGTTGAGAAGAGAAAAGGTCTGAGAACAGAAGTCTGGGGGGACACCAGTGTTCATTCCGGAAACATGAGTCCAGGGAGGAGATTCAGAAGTAAGCAGCCCAGGAATAGGAAGACAATTGGGGAAATAGTATCATGAAACAGAACAAGTGATGAGCCAAGGGAGGAAGTCATACTGCAGAAGGATTCTGAGAAATAGGGGCCAGTGTATAATCATTGGATTTGGCAATTAAAGGGTTTTTTTTTAAACCTTTGATTTTTAAAATGAAATTTCAGTTTTTAAAATGAGATTTTTAGAAATGAAATTTCCAAAACAATAGTACACTTTTGTGGCAGAGAGATTAGAAAACACAATTTAGCAAAAGGGAAAAAATTAGAACTGCTTGATATTCTACCATCCCGAGAGAACCGTTTTTAACATTATGTTCTATTATCCTTTCAGACATTTTTCGTGCTGACTAACAAAGGATTTTTTTTTTAAGATGACTTTAGACTGGGATAACTGCTGAATCAATGGGTTAATAGGTCAAGAAATTAAACATAGGGTGTCACAGATAACATATTGATGAGACAAAGTAGAACAATACAGTGATAGCCTACTCACTAGAGTGGAGAAGTAGTGCTTTTAGCATGGCCATGGAAGCTGCCTTTTCACTGCCACATCGGAGGGCTCTGCCAAGTCCAGGGTGCAGGAGGGATTCCCGAAAGGCACATAACTCCATGCCTACCACAATGCCTGGCACACATGGAGGCACTCTTGTGGCAAGTAAAGGAGGAGGTATTGGTGATAGAGTGGGGAGACCAGAAAGGAAAGCACTTGGGAGATTGGGTCTGATATTAGAAGGTCTAAGCAGGAGAAGGACAGAAAGTAAAGTTTGGGATTGATAGGCCAAGTGAAAAGAGAGATGAAGGTTAAGCCAGAGTGAAAAGTTGACAGTTGAGATTTTAGATGGTAACGGGTTTTAGATTGTGGTGCGTTCTAGCAGGTAGGGGAACACGGTTTTAAAATGGAGTAAGGGGGGAGGTTGTAGGAGTTGAGGTGGCCAGGGAAGTTGGACTTTGTGGGTTTTGTATGATTGATCTTATGTGAGCATTGAAAAGGTGGAGAACAGGAGCCTTAGCCGGATGCCAAGGTTGTCCATGAACATGGGGGTGAGGGTCATTGGTGAGGATGTCGGTATGTGATCAGTGACAAGGAGCAGTAGAGGATGGATTTTTATCTGAGCGAAAGGCCATGTTTTAGAAAAAGGACAGTAGAAACCTAAAAGAAGGCTTAGAAGGTAGGCTTAATAAGGTACAGAAGAGTATTTTTTTTGTATGTTTAAATCAGACTGTGGAGAAAATTTTGCGACCAGCAGGAGCTGGTAGGGGAGTTTGTTTACTCTGAACCAAGGTTCCACAGGGCACAGACGAAAAGGGTAGGGAGGGAATTTGGGATGGGAGGAGGCCCCGGAGCTGTGAAGGGTGAGAGGAGAAGATAAGTGGCCCTTGGCCTGGCCAGCAGGGTGGGAAGGAGAGTAGTTGTGTGAAAAGGAGAAAATTACTTTGCTTCAGAAACAGTCTAATAAACTCAATTAGTTTATTCTGCCCTAGAAGATCTAATTATCATTCCACTCTCTTGGCTTCATTTCTCTGATATGCAAAAATGTGCTTTCATTCCTTTCAAAAATTTACATATTTATATTTTAAATATATAAATAACATGTGATCATTGTTTTTTTAGAATAAGGTTAATGAGGTAAGTAAAAAAGAGAAGGGGGTAAATCTCAGTTTCTTGAAATCTTACTACCTGGGGATATCATTTTGGTATCTGTTCCTCCAGACGTTTTCTCATCTCAACACACCTGTGTGTATTTAATTTTGGAAAATGCACCAAGTAAACTGCAGTTGTCTGCTTCATTGTTTTTTCACGTAACAATACCTAATAAACATCCTTTGTCAGAATAGGTAGATTTCTGCCATCGTTTTTAGTTGTTACAGTACTCCATTAGAGAACTACACCACATTTACTTCATATACTCTGTTGTTGGGCTTTTGAATATTTTCCAGTTTTTTATTATAAGTTATAAGACTAGAAAGAAAAATCTTGTGTGTACAGTTTGGTGTATTTATCTGATTATTTCCTTTGGGTAAGTTCCTAGGTTTTTTCAAGGTCAACAGTGGTACTTTTTGGTTTGATTTCTTTTTTGTTGCTTTTTCTCACAATTTAGCATTTGGCTGACAGATCCTTTTTGTGTTGATAATTTGGGGACATAGTGAAATATATTCGGTGAATGGTGTAAAATCAGTGGGCTAGGCATATATTATTTATAAGTTAACAATTTACCATCGTTTGATAGATATGTAATAGACTTTTTCCCCAGGTAGGGAAGCCAAAAACATTAGCCTGTAAACCTTTAGGTTGTCTTCTTCCAAAGGGCTTATACATTTAAGACTTAGGCAGTGGAATTGAGATAATTATGAAAAATTGTTTAAGCTCTTAAGTTAATAATGTCTTCAGAATGCATGGAAATGATTAATACAGTTTTCTTTGATTGCCTTTTTTACAGGTGATTCATGGCAGGGGACGTGGAAGGATTCTGTTCCTCCATCCATGACACCAGTGTCTCTGCCGGGTTCAGAGCACTGTATGAGGAGGGATTGCTTCTTGATGTCACTCTGGTTATTGAAGATCATCAGTTCCAGGCCCATAAAGCACTCTTGGCCACCCAGAGTGATTACTTCAGAATTATGTTTACTGCAGACATGAGGGAGCGAGATCAGGACAAAATTCATTTAAAAGGTCTAACTGCTACTGGTTTCAGCCACGTCCTTCAATTTATGTATTATGGAACTATAGAACTGAGTATGAATACTGTTCATGAGATCCTTCAGGCTGCCATGTATGTTCAACTTATAGAGGTGGTGAAGTTCTGCTGCTCTTTTCTGTTAGCAAAAATCTGCTTAGAGAATTGTGCAGAAATTATGAGACTCTTAGATGATTTTGGTGTAAACATCGAGGGAGTCAGGGAGAAGTTGGACGCCTTTCTGCTAGACAACTTTGTGCCACTCATGTCCAGACCTGACTTCCTGTCTTATCTGAGCTTTGAGAAGCTCATGTCTTATTTGGATAATGATCATCTGAGCAGGTTCCCAGAGATAGAGCTGTACGAGGCTGTGCAGTCTTGGCTGCGGCATGATAGAAGACGCTGGAGACATACCGATACCATCATTCAGAACATCAGGTTTTGTTTGATGACCCCATCCAGTGTTTTTGAGAAGGTTAGTGCATTTGAAAGCAACAGACAGGACTCACCATTCAGTTGAGGCAGTATGTCTTTATAGGTAAGATTCCCAGGCTTGGTCAGGAGCTAAAAAGAATACTTTATAAGAATAGTTAGTGGATAAGCAGTCTAATGTGTTGTAGCTTGTACATTTAGGTTTTAAAAACACATTTTGTGGGGGAAAGAAGAACCAGGTAGGTAGTAGAGTAGTTTTGTTTTAAAAGTACTTTTAAAGTTGAAGCATAATTATTTAACCCAAAATACTCCAAGTTTGCTTTAGCTTTTCTTTCTTTTCACAAAGTAATTAAATCTGAATTGGGTCAGGTTAGCTCTGTTTTTAAAAATTAATTTAAGTAATACATGCAGAAATTAGAGTTGAGAGGAGTTTTTGTAGTTTTGAATGATGTACATTAAGGCAGTTTTGTATTCCTCTAAAATGTAGTGAGTAAACATAAAATAGTTCTTGAAAAGCAGTAGGCCCTAGTGGTGATGCTTCCCTACCCTTACCTAGTTGTTTCTTCCCTACTCTTAAGTAGTTCTGTTTTTCCCATTTCACTATGAATACTAACTAAATTTAACCATGAAAACATGTTTAATGTCTAAAACCATTGTTTTGGCATTTCTAACTAAATAGACTATAAATCCTCTGTCGACGTTGATCAAACAGCCCTGTGCACATTTTACCATGTAATAGTTCTGTTGTTTGAAAAATAGTCTTTCTCCAAAACAGCCTTGGCCTTTTTGCACGCAAGCATCTTTCATTTTTATATCAGAGTCTCATTTATGATCCTTTCTTGCCAAAAGGAGAGAAAGCAGTTTCAATAATTGCTTAACTTAATTGGTTTCTAATCATACGGTTACCTCTGGGGCTCTGTTTACCTCTTGCATCTTTTCCTCTTTCTAGAAAGCACACTTAAAGCTTTGGTTCAACACCCTTCATGTTAAATAGTTCTTTAGCTTTAGTTACCACACGTGGTGATAAAAATAGAATATTTGCAAAGGAGGGTTGTTTACACCATTTGAAAAATAAACAGATTTGCCCCTTCAGATAACACTCAGCAGCCTGGCATGTCCCCCCCCCCCCCGAAATGCTGTGAAATATCATTAACTTATACTTTTAATAGAGAACCCAACTTTATGGGATTTTATCTTCATTCTCAGAATGCACTGGATCTGGCAGAAATAATTGAAACTAAAGAATACATTGCTTAATTACTTTTTGTTGGGTGATAATCGGCCCCACGTCAACTATGTAAATCATTTGTCTCTGATAACGATTTTTTTCCTTACTAAAGTTTTTATTGTTCTCTTTCTCTGGAGAATCCTGTTTTGTCTTTATGCACTAAATGCAAATGCTCTCCCACTGCTTAAACAAAACCCTCCAACTTTAGTCTAGATGGAAGTACTGGTGAAATAAGAAAATTTATCCTTCTGTGGGACAATACGATGGATAATTGTTAGCAGTAAATGATTTTTAATTGCTGAGTGCTGAGCCTTTTTATGTTCTAATTACCAGTTCCAGGTGGTCAGTAGTGACAGTGGCTGAAATGAAAGTTAATACCATCGGGTAGTTTTGTAAATTATATGAAACATCTCTTGTACCTTCTGATGGATTTTGTTTGCTTGTATAGCATAGGATGTGATTATTCACCACTGGCCCAGTATTGGGTAGATCTTCTCAGAATAAAAATGTTAAGGCTTCCTTCTTGAGTTAATTTCTTAGGAAAACTTAATAAGGCCCTGGCCAAAGAGGGAGCTTTGTTTTTTTGTAATATAGTAGAAATCTTTTAGTTTTATTTTAGTAATACCGGTAAGATAAATGGAAAGTAGTCAGTGATTCTTGTCTTAGTGATGTATGAGAGTTACTGCTTATCATAGTAATCTGTGGCTTTCTCTTTTATTTTACTTCAATAGAGTTTAACATACATTGTTATATTAGTTTCAGGAGGAATGTATGGCTTTCTGAATGTTGAGAAACATTTTTGAGAGCTTATCTCTAGAAATAAAACTTCATAAACCAAACTTAAATGGAAAATTGGGTTGGGAAATAAGAATTTGAACTATTTTGCACCATACTATTTTGAGCTCCCTTGAAAATAGGGCCCATCCATTTTTCCTTTACTTAGTATGCTGCAGGTCTCAAACAAAGCCATTTTAATATCCATTATATATGCACACTGCCAGAAAGGGCACAGAAATAAAGACATGTTACATCTGTGCTGGTCCTTTTTTAGTATGAGAATCTACATGGGGAAAAGCGTAGGCAGTTTTGATTTGTGGTTTTATCCTATTTGCTGAAATTTAGAAAAACGGAATATTGATAGGTACATTTTATTTTTATTTTTATTTTTATTTATTTTTTTTAAGATTTTATTTATTTATTTGATAGAGGTCACAAGTAGGCAGAGAGGCAGGCAGAGAGAGAGGGAGAAGCAGACTCCCTGGGACCCTGGGATCATGACCCGAGCTGAAGGCAGAGGCTTTAACCCACTGAGCCACCCAGGCGCCCCAGTACATTTTATTTTTAGCTTTAAATTATTAAAAACTTCCTATGACTTTCTAAACATAAAAAAATGTCTGAAAGAATATTGGAATGATCACCCATAAACACATCCTTTAGGTTAATTCTGTTACCATCTTGCCACTTTGGCTTTAGCTGTGTAAAACCATTTCAGAGAATGTTGTAGACTTTATGACACTTCATCCCTAACTGATTGAGCGAGCAGCTCATCTCCCAAGAGTGAGGAAATTCGACATAACCATAATACCATTGTTGAAATTAACAATAATGCCTTAATGTCATGTAATAGGCTCTTCATTTTGTGATTTTTCTCACTTGTCCCCTAAATGCCTTTTTTTTTTTAAGCTGTTTTTTTAAAGGATTTAATCAAGTTTCATACAGCATATTGGATTGTTAGGTCTCCCTTTGAATCTGGAACTGTCTCTCCTTTTTCTTGTTTGTGATGAGGATGTTCAAACATGAAAAGATGAAAGAATAGTATAACATAACTCTGTAGCTGTCACCTAGGTTCAAGAACTGCCCTACCCAAATTCAGTGCCATTCCACTTCGGTTAATCAACAATAATACCATGTGATATCTAGTCCACATTCAAATTTTCCCATTTCTCAAAGTGCCCTAGAATCTAGTCATTATTTATGTACTGCTTTTGATTATCACATCTGTCTAATCTTAATCTAAAACAGTCCCGCACTTTTTTTTTTAATTTTTGAGAAAGGTAAGATCTCTGATTGTCTTAGTGTGTCCCACATTCTGGCTTTGTCAGATTATTTCTTTGTGTTGGTGTTAACTTAGTTCCTCTTTTCCTTAGGTGTTCTGTTAACACATCTACTTTTCAGCACTGTGTTTTTTCAGGAACAGTTACAGGGAAATATTGTCGTGATGCCAAAGAAGTCTTGGCACTTAGCAGCTCTAATCAAACTTAGAATTTACCTTTTTTTTTCCTTAGGAGGCTAAGTAGCCTGATCCTATGACTAAGATAATCAAGAATGTTATTCATAGTATTAATAGATTTCTTTTAGATTGTTAAAATTTCCCTCCTTTAAAAAAAATGGAGAGCCTTTCCATTCAGTTTGATGGGATTAAAACTAGCTGAAGTCAAGATTAAAAGATTACTCTCTAATAAAAAATTAGTGTATAGCTCTGACTCTAGAACTGCGCTGTTCGGTAGGGTTACTGCTTGTGGCTACTGAATACTTAAGATGTGGCAAGTCTGAATTGAGATTTTTAACAATTAGGATGACCAAAAGGGTGTAAATAACCTCATTACTCATTTTTATATTGATCATAGCTTGAAATGATATTTTGGGTATACTGGGTAAAATGAAACACATTATTAAAATCAACTTCAGGTGCCTCGTTAGCGCAGGCATGTCAGTCTCATAAAATCAACTTCACCTTTTTACTTTCTTAAATGTGGCTATCAGAAAGTGTACAATTAATCAGTGGCTCACATTTGTGGCTCTTTATATTTCTGTTGCACAGCGCTGCTCTAGAAGTTCAAGGAGTGAGTTGTTCATTAGAAACTCTCTGAACAAGAATATGGCAAACAGTCTTTCTCACATATTAGACCCTTTTCCTGGTTTCTCAGCCTTTCAAGATGTTCTGCACACTCTAATGTTGAATGAGCTTACCTACCTACCTATTCTTTAGCGTGGCTGATGAGGTTAACTTGAGTGTAGCCTCTCTTCATCAGGATCCCGACCCTGGCCTTAGGAAAATAAAAAGCAAGTGAACAAAGCTTGGTGGAAGGAACCTGTGTGGACTTTAATTCTTTCTTTGGTGGTAACAAACACATCTGAGCAGAAGCTTCGTAGTGAGGGAACGGGACCTTCCGCCTCTCATCAGGGAATAGCCCTTTTCGTTGCGGGGACCTGAGTCTTGTCCTCCAGCTATGCTGAAATCTTTTGAGTTTATGCTTCTGTAGTATCTTTCTCCCTCATCCTCTACTTTTCTCCCCAGCTGAAAACAGACGGTCTTAACTTTTGTACTGAGTACTCTGTGGGACCATCACCAAAGAGATCGTGGCTTCCAGATTTCCTCACTGAGTTCCTTAGAAGCCACAGGGTTAAGCACACGCTTCTGCACCTCACGGTCCTCTCCCTCCCTGCTCTAGCAGCCATCGTAGGAAGCCCTTGGACCAGGAAGCGAGCAGACCTGGGTTCCACTCTGAGCAGTGCCACTTGTTCTGGGATAAGATTCCTAACCTTTCTGAGCCTGTTTTTTAATCTGTAAAAGGGAACTAACCTATAGACTCAACCTTTGTGTAGAGCTTTTGAGGCACAATCTGACATATATAAGGTGTTCTGGCCCAGCTTGGGTCGTTTAAAAGTTGTTAGATAGTCATGAAAATTCAGTTTGTTTGCATGAACAAAATATAGCCAGAGAAATTTAATGGCACTGAAAAAAGTACAAGGTGTGGGAAAACTTCCAGATGTGCAAGCCCAATTCTGGGGATTTCGATGTATTATCAAAGAAA